GTATGTACTCTATTTAAATATGTATTTTAATAAATACATACTTAATAAATAAATATTTATAAAAAATTATTTATAAATATGTGTTTATAAAAATATAAATAACAATTATAACTATTTATAAATATTAAGGTCTAAGTGCACCATTTGTCACAAAGGCACTAAAACATAAAAAAATTATTTAAATAAATGCTAAATAAACAAATAAATACAAAATAGATAAATAAATAATTAAATAATAAATATTTGTTTATTAAAATATTATTGTTTATAAACATTTAAGTCTATGTGCACCATTTGTCACAAAGGTTTGTGTCATCAATTATAAACATTTAATATATTTAAATATTTAAAATAAATAAATACTTACAAATATTTCTAAAATAAATAAAATAAATGTATATTTATAAAAAAATAACAGATACATATTTGTTTTGATTTAATAATAATAATAATGAATAAAATAAATTAATTTTTTTAATATTTATGTGCCATTTGACACACATACAGGAAAAATAGAATGCAAGTAATGTACTATTTAAAATGAATTTTGCTATACAATGTTATTTTTGAGCATACAAATCTAATTCTTTTAATAATATTTTTTGTCTTAATTATAAAATAAGAAAAATATATGCAAACAAATAAAATATAAAAAGACTTGTTTGTAAAAAAAAATGTTTGCTGTTTTTTTACTTTTTGCAGTAAACAATTTTAGAGCATAATTTTGATAAATATGAGATATATGTAAAATATTGGCAAAGGGCTGAAAAATACTGAGCTTTATATATATATTTTTTCACTATAGGGCTCTATCACACAGCCCTAGTTTTGAAAGAACAGTAGAGGTTTGAGAGTTTTGTAAATTGATTTATGCCAAAATAAGAAGCATCTGCACAATACTGGAAAACTGGAACAAACAAAAGATGAAAGCATCACATCTGCACAAACTCTGAGTTGTGTAGCACTACATGCTCGATCACTCAGTGTTTTGGCTCCTTCTCATAAATCCTGGCTTTGCCGTGACCTGTTCCTCCTCTTCTCTGGGTTTTGCTTGCTAAGATCTCTGCATTGAGCATTCCAGCAGCAAACTTTTCCACCGAGAGCTGCCGCCCGCTCACTTAGACGGGTCCAGAACGCGGTCAGACTCTGAAGTTATGCTGTTACGTACAGCAGCTGACTTTGTGCTGCTTCTTTTGTTTTTGTGCTTAGCACCGTCATAGGTTGTGTTAGGGTCAGAAAGAGCGGGACCCTCAAATCGAGTGAAGCTGCCTGTTCTCAAGAGGAACTGAAACATAATTTATCACCAAAGGCTATAAATTCGGAAGTTTAAAGGCCTTTTCCAATAGGAAATGCATCAACAGAATAGAAACCTACACTTAAATATTTTAATACAGCAATTATGCAACTTACTGGCTGACTGAATTTTGCATATGTAAAATGAAGCATTGTGTTCCTGGGAGATTTGTTTGATTGTAAACTATTTTTTCTTTATTTTTTTACCCATACGGAAATGTAATAAATGATATATATATTGTCTTACATCAAGAGTGATTTCCATATATATTACCTATAGGTGATATATAATTTTCACATTTTCACATATGTACATTCTCTGGGTAGATGAAGATAAAAGTTTATAACATATGGAATCCCCACAGTAAAATTTGTATATGTCTATTTGTTAATAATATTTATATGATGATTTTAAATGGCATTTTATGTAGCAACCATATTCGTAAAAAATATATATGCAACTTTATTAACACATCAATCATATATATACAAAAATCTGTATGTTAATATAAAAAAATAATGTCTATCTTTTATATTTACTTATATAATACCAACATGTATTGACTGGTTTTAGGATGGATATCATGTACATCATGATATATATGATGTCTATCTATCGCTATATTTAAAACTTTAATCTTTAAAAATGAAAACAAAAGAAAATAAAAATAAAAACTGCTTCATAATATTATAATATAATATAATAAAATGAAAGTTTTACTTGCCATAAAATAATGAACTGAAATAAAATAAGATAAAATAAAATACAAAAACTTTTAACTTTTTTTTTTCAGCTAATTTCAGCAACATTTGTCATTTTATTTTAGTTCAACTTGATGTACTAAAATACATAAAACTGAAATAAAATGTAATACATACACAAACACTAAAAATGACAAAAAACAACAAAATTATAAAAAACTAAATTTTACATTTAAAACATTAAACTATAAATTAAAACGAATATATATATATATATAAATTCTTCAAAATATAAAAATAATATAAATACATTATATTAATAATATAATATCATATCATAGAATAGAATATATAAAAAATTATAATAATTTTAATAAAAGACTATAATAGTATCTCAATGATACTAAAATAACACTGGGGTGAAACGTACAAAACCAGTCAAGAATATGATGAAGTCATAATTCATCCCCAAGATTGAAAGAAATATTTTTTTTTCATTATGACAAATTTTATTACAATAAGTGCACATTTACACACAAATTGCCAATATCATAATTCTACCATTACTCTGGTGTTAGTACATCGTGGTACTGTCTAAAATGTATGCTCATTTAAACAGAAATATCTTCTAGACTACTAGAGTAATGAGAATCACCGTTGTGAATAATGGGAGTTATGAAGAAAACTCAAGAGAAAAGCATTACAGTAATGAGAACTTTCAGAGTAAAATATGCTTAACTGTCATGAAAATAATACATATGCAGAACAAAAATCTTAACAGGCTTCATTTTCTTTATGCACAATATCGTTTCTTATTTCTTCCTTTGGATCTTAGGATGAAAAAACAAGCAGCTCGATTAATGCCGCAAGCGGTAGTGCATTAAACAAATAGTCTCTCTGTCTATAAAAAAAATATATAATAATATATATTATTTAGAAAACACAAGCGAAAAATCTCTAGTACAAGGAAATCTGCAGTGCTGATGTGATTTGTTATCGTGCCCTTGTTTCATTCAGCCCTGTATTTTTAAAAATCCCTGAGGTTTTTCTTCAATAAAGCAGAGCTATAAGAGATGAACTACTTTCAGACATTTTACAGTCAGACAATGGAAGCTTTCAGTAAATGCTCAGAGCACATTTTCCACAGCAGAACATGTTTTATAGGAATAGAATTTCTCAAGACACAGATGTCCTGTAGTGGAAAAAAGATTTGCTGTAGCAAAAGTTTAATTCAGTTAACAAACAAATTTTAACAAACTCTCTTCAGGTTGTGTTAGAGTGATCGTTATTAATCTTAAATTGTGAACGTTTGCCTCAGTGCATATTTTGTGTACTGAGGAATAGCATTTCCCATCATTCTCCATCCCAGCTAACAGGGAACAATCTCAGAACTCTGGCGAATGTTCTGGAAAAGTTCGCTCAAAGTTATGAACAAATGTTCTTCTTGTAACATTAATAGAACATTCGTTCAAAGTTGTCTGGGTTTTAATAACAAAAATGTAATTGTTACATTGTTCATGTAATGTCTTTAACGTTATGACTACTTGTTTCTACGGAGCCTCGTACATGGCATGCAGGAAAAAAATAGTAGGCTAAATCGTGCGCACGATTTACTATTTCATTCCCTCGATTTGCTAAGTTGTGCACATGATTTATAACTTGAGAGAACGAATTAGTAAATTGTGCGCACGATTTAGCAAATCGAGGGAACGAATTAGCAAATTCGAGGGAACGAAATAGTAATCGTGTGCACGTTTTGGTACATCGAGGGAATGAATTAGAAAATTGTGCGCACAATTTATTTATTTTTTCTTGCATGTCATGTGCAGGGCTCTGTATGTTTCAGAATGTTCAGAGAACATTCAAAAGAAACGATTCCTTAACGTTTTTGTATAATCTTGAATGCGAACGTTAGAGAAAACATTAAGGGAACGTTCCATTTTATAATTTTGCAAACGCTATGGGAATGTTACTTTTGAATGTTGTCTAAACATTCTGAAACAAGGAGTAAGGAATAACGTTTAAATATATGTTCTATGAATGCTTTGCTAATTTTCCCATTAAGTTATGAAAATAGGTTTTTTAACGTTCAAAATATCAAATTTTTAAAATGGTTTAAAAAGGTTATTTGTGAATGTTCTCTGAAATTTTTTTTCCGTAAATTAATGGGAGCATTATCGTGTTCTTAGAATTAAAAAAAAAGTTATTACTTACTAAATGTTTCAGAATGTTTAGAGAACATTCAAAAGTAACGTTCCCATAATGTTTTCAAAATTATAAAACGGAATGTTCCCTTAATGTTTTCTCAAATGCTTGCATAACCAAGAACAAAGGTTATTTTTGAATGTTGTCTGAAATGGTATAAAATAACATTTTCATAACTTCATGCGAACATTAGCAAAACATTCTTGGGACAGACAATGCTGGGACAGTAACATGAGAATGTTCAAATACAAGATAAAGCATGAATTTCACACTTAATGCACATCCTTGGTCTTTGTTTCTGATGCGTTGTGTTAAACAAGCTTCCTGGTTTTATCAACATGAAAAAAAAGTATGAAATTGTGTCACGTATTCACAATTAAAATAAATTCCGAAACTTCTGAGCTTATGCATGTGAATTTTCCCAGCAAGGCAGCAGTCATGCATAATATCTATGCATGTCAAAAGTCACCAACTCTTTCAAATGATTCACGCTGCAACTGGAGTTGGTTCAAGTTATGCATTATTAAAAAGGCTATGCACTTTGCTGAGCATACAGTGCTAGACCATTTGCTTTCAAGTACCATCAACGGAGACACATCGCTATTATCCGTCTACGGTGAAGCTCTATGTGAAAACTAGCCTCAGGGAGCGAGAAATGCACGTTCACTTATTTTGTACAGTGGAAAGTCACTTCCTGCAGGGTGTTTATTTATCCTTGACTTTATGCCTTTGTAGATTTACGAATGTTTCGAGAGCACAAAAGTGAGCGCTGCAGAGTTGGAGTGGAATAAGGTACTCACTGAAGAGTAACATGCTGGCATTGGAAGCCCCGAGGCGGTTGGAGGCGAAACAGGTGTAGTTGCCAAAGTGTTTTTCTGTGACGTTGGTGAAGAGCAGCAGGGAACGTGTTTTTTCGTTTTTAATCTTCAGCGTGTTATCACTCTCTACCGGCCTGAGAAAGAATTAATATGACAGATCACACGTTAGGATAGGTGAGTTGTCACGTAAACCCGGTATGTGCTACTTCCCATGGTTCACAGCATCTGTTTCGCACGCTTACCTTCGGTCATCCCGATACCATTCAAAGGACGCGGTGGGCACTGCCATAGCTTCACAGCGTAAGATTGCAGTTTTTCCCAGCTGGGCGGGCATGTTCTTTACTTCTGTGATTACTGGTGGATCTAAAGACCAAACAGACAGTGTACTGAAGTTAAAGGGGTCATATGATGTTGCTAAAAATAACATTATTTTGTGTATTTGGTGTAATGAAATGTGTTTATGCGGTTTAAGGTTAAAAAAACACATTATTTTCCACATACTGTACATTATTGTTTCTCCTGTATGCCCCGCCTTTCTGAAACGCGTAGATTTTTATAAAGCTCATCGGTCTGAAAAGCGAGGTGTGCTGTGATTGGCCAGCTATCCAGTGCGTTGTGATTGGCCGAATACCTCAAGCGTGTGACAGAAATGTTACGCCCCTTACCATACTGTGATGGAGCGACAAGACATTAAAGTAGTCGTGTCCTCTTTTGGAAGACCAAACAAAGTAGTTTCGCTTTCACAACGAAACATAGCGTCACACACCACGGGCTTGCGGCATCCACATGTGACGACCCCAGGCTGGACACTTCATCCACGGTGAAAGCCGATCCAGCGATCCACAGCACAAAGTTGATGTATTTCCTCAGCACGCATCAGCTCTAGGCATGACGAAGCGGATATCGTTCTCTTTTGGAAGGCCAAAGAAAGTAGTTTCGCTTTGACAATGAAGCACACAGCGTCTTCACGACAAGGCGGCGGCAGCAGCAACAATACTACAGCGAGAATAAAAGTTACGCCTTCTTTCTTTGCGTGAACATTTGGGCGGCGTTATGCAAATCTTCCCACACAGTAACGTAGACATGTGGGGGCGTGTTTAAACAAGGCGTTTTAGGGGGGCGTGGACAAGTCTTAACTTTTATAAAGAATATCTCTTTGGATTTGAGACTTTAGTCTTTGCAACTTTAGAGATCTTATCTATGCACGAACAGCTTGTAAGACTCCAAAAAGAAAGGAAAATTTGCAATTGCATCATATGACCCCTTTAATATTAGCACCTGTTGTTCAATTAAAGCAATAATTCATTCGAAAATGAGAAAAAAATTCTTCTCAGCATCATGTCATTTCAAACTTGGAAGCTGTTATTTTTTACTACCTACTTGTTCCTTTAAACGTGATCATGCTAGAAACATGCAAAATTTTTACTTTCAAGTATGCATTTAATTGTACTTACAATAATTGTATTGTATTAAAAAGCTAATTTAAAATCTTCTTTATAAATGGCCTGATAAAACTTAAAATGCAGAGGATATTTTTTTCATTAAACTGCCATACACAAACTTTGTAAAGTACAGTACAGGAGTCCTAAGAGGCCATGCATTATTATTAGAATTATTATTATTATACTTTTCAGTAGATTATGTAGTTGTTTGACACTTAAAAATAGTAATAGATATAATTAATAGAATAAAATAAAATGTTATATATATATACAGTATATATATATATATATATATATATTTTTTTTTTTTAAATGTATTTATTTATAAGAATTATAAATAATTTCTATCAAATTTAACAAGTGTTAGGCTTAAAAAGAAAAAAATTATCAGTGGGTCAAAAAATTAAATTGATTTCGAATATATTCTTTTATTATTTTACATAATTTTGTTTCTCAAGTGAATTTATTTTCTGAAGGATGGTTAGATATTTTACTGGAAAGCAAGACAAAATACAGATTAATAAGTATAAGACTAAGATGATTTGCATTATAAGAGGATATATTTGTGTCATGATGATGAAATATACTAATGTTCAAACGTTTGGGGTCAGTGAGTCTACAAAGGCTGCATTTATTTGATAAAAAATACATTGTGAAATATTATTACAATTTAAAATAACTGTTTTCTATGTGAATATCTGTTAAAATGTAATTTATGTACTTTCCCTGGACTTTCCCTTAAAATGTAATTTCCCTAGAATTTGCTAATGAATTTTCAGCATCATTACTCCAGTCTTCAGTGTCACATGATCTTTCAGAAATCATTCTAATATCCTTTATATTTTTGTGGAAAATGTGAAAACAATTGGACCTTTTTGTTGAATAGAAAGTTCAAAAGAACATACTTTATTTGAAATATAAATATTTTGAAACATTGACACTCTTTACTGTCAATTTTGATCAATTAAAAGTGTCCTTGTTGAAAAAAACATCTTATTGACACCAAACGTTTTGTAGTCTACTGTATGTACTTACATATTTGAAGGTCCACCTGAAACTGAATGATTTTTGTTAACAAAATGTAATTAAGTTTCTACAGTACTCAAGAACAGAATAATTAAATACAATAACGAAGTACAATTACTCAAGTTCTTTAAACTCTGTGGAGTCGAGAGGAGATGATGAAAAGATAAAGAGTTTACTTCTGTAGGCAGCTGATTGCAATCCAATTTTCATTTTCAATTACTCAATCACAGAATGTTCTGAAACACTTCCACTGATCTCATTAGGATGTCAATGTGAGTTGCTGACAGGAGCAGAGCGGCTCGACTTACAGTTGACTGTGACCTTGACGCGGCGCGTGTCTGGCGGCGCCACGCCGTTGTTGGTGATGCATTCAAATTCCTCCGCCTGATGCCGCTTGATTTCTGTGATTTCCAGAAATTCGCCTTCACTCATGAGACCATCTGTGAAGACAAAAGACGAGACGGTGATTGAATACCGGCGCCGTGGTGCACAATGTCATACGTGAGTGTAATTGGGTTGGTAGGTGTTCCAGAAGCAGCAGCATTGTTCCACACTGTCATATTAAACAAAAAAAGGCCTAAGGACACGGCAGCAGGAACCACGGGACCGACTCTCCTTATTCATCATGTAGCAGACACTTTTTATCCGATCTGACTTTCGGTCGGTGGACCACAAGGGACGGTCCTGCTGGAGTAACCGGCTGTTGAATGTCTTGCCCTGGAGCGCAATGGTGGCATGGGAATTGACTGATCTTTAACCACTACACTACCTGCTCTACAATGACTAAACAATTTAACCACTTTTAAATTTCACCCAATGCCTAAAAGTTTATTTCAACAGTGTTCAAGGAGAAAAGTGTGTCATTTCTGAACCACTGCTGACACTGAACGGAACTGCAATCTGTTTGTTTCACAGTTTTCTCACAGTTTATTCACATTATTTAGTAAACACTTTTACACTTTCTATCTATATGCGTTATTTCTAAGCAACTGTCTAGCAACTGCTTAGTAACCACTTTAGCAACAGCCTTCAAACCAGTTGGAACTTCTTAGCAACTGCCTATCAACTCCCTAGCAACAACTTAGAACCTAGCAACCACACAAAACACCTTAGCAACAGCCTATAAACCAGTTAGAACTTTAGTAACCACCTAGCAACTCCCTAGAAACAACGTTTTAGCAGCTATTTAAAAGACCTTAGCAACAGCTTACATACCAGTTAGAACTTCTTAGCAACTCCCTAGCAACCACACAAAACACCTTAGCAACAGCCTATAAACCAGTTAGAACTTTTTAGCAACTGCCAAGCACCTGTATAGCAACTCTCTAACAACAATTTTAGACCTAGCAACATCCTAGCAACCACTTGAAACACCTTTGCAACAGCCTACACAAACCCCTTTACATTTACATTTATTTAAATTATTTAGTATATATACTATATATAATGTTTACATTTGAAAGTTTCTATGGATAAAAGTGACTTACAATTGAGGAACATAACTTAGTAACCACCTAGCAACAGACAGAGTTTTTGTCTGTCTATCTATATGCTCCCTTTCAAAGCAATGGCCTAGCAACTGTTCAGTAGCCATTTACAACACCTTAGCAACAGCCTACAAACTTCTTAGCAACTGCCTAGCATCTCCCTAGCAACAACCCAGAACCTAGCAACATCCTAGCAACCACTCAAAACATCACGCCACAGTCATAATCACTTTTAATAAAATTAAGTCACAAAGTTACTTACAAATAAGGAACATACAACTACTTAGAAAACCTTAGCAACTACCTAGCAACTACTTAGCAATCACACTGAACAGAAGATTGTCTTTGTCCATTTATGTGTTCTCTTTCTAAGCATTGCCCTAGCAACATCCTAGCAACCAATCAAAACACCTTAGCAACAATTTAGAACTTAGCAACATCCTAGCAACCACTCAAAACATCTTTGCCTCAGTCACAGTGAACAATCAAAATCATTATGAATAAAAGTCACAAAGTGACTTAGAAATGTCGTACTTAGTAACAACCTGGCAACTACTTAGAAAACCTTAGCAACTACCTAGCAACTACTTAGCAATCACATTGAACAGAATATTGTCTTTGCCTTTCTACATGCCTTCTCTTTCTAAGCATTGCCCTGGCAATATCCTAGCAACCAAGCAAAACGCCTTAGCAACCACCTAGCAACTATTTACAACACCTTAGCAATCACCTAGCAATGTCTTAATCACATTGAACAGAAGACTGTCTTTCTGTCTATATGTGGTTTCTTTATAACTGCTTAGTAACCACTCAGAGCATCTTAGCAACAAATCAGAAAACACATTAGAAAATGTGCACCCTAGCAACCCCTCAAAATACCTCAACAACTACCCAGCAATTGAACACAAAACTACAGCAACCACATATTAATGCAGAGCCTATATAAAGGCTGCTGTCAAACAGCACAAGCCTTATATAACCTTGACACTTCACATCTCTCCTCAAACTACACTTCTATAAACTTCAGACTTCAAACCCAAATTCATGCAATGAACTTTCCTTTCCTAGTTATGTTTGCAGTTCTGTTTGGTGCTTCCAGTGGAGCAGAAACCACATACTTCACCTTGATTAAAATTAATTTCAACAGAATAAAATGTATTTATTTAACAAGAGCGGGGGCGAGTGACAAACGGTCCGCGGAATAAACTGAAAGGCTTTGATAAGAAACATGAGTCTGTGTCGCTCTCAGATAAACATCACAGAACGTGTGTTGGGTAATGCGTCACTGAGCTTTATTTACTGGCCATTGTGAACTACAAAAAGACTGTCTCGCACCTCTAAGGCACTTCTTTCCCTTTAGCGAGACGAAACTGACAACAACACAAATCTTTTGTAACAAGGACAAGGTTGGATTTGCCACTGTGTGATGAAAGTGGCTGTTATTAGTACAACAATGACAGCGAGAACAGATACATCTGGAAGCTTGATTCTGCCACAGAATAAAAAATAAAAAGGGAACCGCAACTTTTTATCTCACAACTCTGACTTTTTTTCTTGCAATTGCAAGTTTACATGCAAGATATAAACTCACAACTGCGAGAAAGTCAGAATTGCAAGATTGACTTTTTCCTCAGAATTGCTCATTTGTTTCTCACAATTTCGACTTTACAGTATGCAATTGTGAGAGAAAATTTTAAGCTGACGTTTTTTCTTCAGAATTGGACTTTATAACTCAATAAACTTAAACGTAACTTAACAATAAACGTATAACTTAATAAACTCTCAATTGCAAGAAAAAAGTCAGAATTGCAAGATATAAATTAGCAATTGGGAGAAAAAGTTGAACTGTCAGATATAAACTCGCAATTGCATGAAAAAATATGGAATTGCGGGATATAAACTCGCAACTGTGGGAAAGAAATTTCTGAATTGTGAGATATAAACACGCAATTGTGAGAAAAAAGTCAGAATTGCGAGATATAAACTCACAATTGCGTGAACAAATACAGAATTGTGGGATATAAACTCACAATTGTGGGTAAAAATTCTGAATTTCGGGTAAATAAACTTGCAACTGCGAGAAAAAAGTCAGAATCTCAAGATATACTATAAACGCACAATTGTGGGAAAAAAAGTCAGTATTGTCAGATATAAACTCGCAACTGCGAGAAAAAAAGTCAGAATTGCGAGATATAAACAATTGTGGGAAAACAAATTCAGAATTGTGAGATATAAACATGCAACTGTGAGAAAAAAATCAGAATTGCGAGATATAAACTCACAATTGCGTGAACAAATACAGAATTGTGGGATACAAACTCACAATTGTGGGTAAAAATTCAGAATTTCGGGTAAATAAACTTGCAACTGCGAGAAAAAAGTCAGAATCGCAAGATATACTGTAAACTCACAATTGTGGGAAAAAAAGTCAGTATTTTGAGATATAAACTCGCAATTGCAAGAAAAAAATAATCCGAATTACGAGTTTCTATCTCACAATTCCAAGGTTATATCTTGCAATTCTGGCATAACTCGCAATTCTGACTTTTCAGAACTATGATTTATATCCCTCAATTCTGAATTTGTGAACTACAAAAAGACTGTCTCGCACCTCTAAGGCACTTCTTTCCCTTTAGCGAGACGAAACAGACAACAACATAAATCTTTTGTAACAAGGACCAGGTTGGATTTGCCACTGTGTGATGAAAGTGGCTGTTATTAGTACAACAATGACAGAAAAAAATAATCAGAATTACGAGTTTCTATCTCACAATTCCAAGGTTATATCTTGCAATTCTGGCATAACTCGCAATTCGGACTTTTCAGAACTATGATTTTATATCCCTCAATTCTGACTTTCATTATTTGTGAGAAAATTGTGAGATAAAGTCGCAATTATCTTTTAACATTTTTTTATCCCGTAGTGGAAATGAGCTCCTATAGATTCACGCTTGCTTTCTTGTGAAACCATTTTCATCTACAACAGTTAGAAAAGGCACACAAAAACCTCAGTGTCAACCAGAATAATCCACTTCTTAGTAGTTTCTGTCTGGCTTCAGCCAGTGGAGAGATGGAAAACACAAAGGCAACCACACACCTTTATTCCACAAATTCGGCACCTTTTCTAATTGAAGATTATTCCGGAGGATTATTAGCACAGCTACTGAACTGGAGAGGATTATTTGCAGCTGCCGACGCCACCGACCGAGCGCACGCTAGGGTTTACAACAGTGTTATTCACTCATTCCATTAGCGTAATAAATATTGTTCCCCCATGACATCTTCGTCAGGCCGTCTGAGCACCCGTTTCAATCCGCTGGGGGGGAAAAACATCATCTTATCCTGACAAAGAGGGTTTACAGGTAAAAAGACTGGAACGTCTCGCACACTTCGAGCTGAGATGCTTAGTAAAGTAGATACTATTTGTATTTAGCGCATTCCCTTGTGGCTAGACGCATTTGTGCTCCGCTGCAGCTGGAAAATATCAGCGAAATGACAAAATCAGCTTTAGAAACACTTAGAATGGATGATGAGAACAAATCAAACAGGGATGCCTACTAAATCTAGATAAAAAAAAAAACACAGGGTCATGGGGTCAAGTATCTATCTATCTATCTATCTATCTATCTATCTATCTATCTATCTATCTATC